CTGTTCCACCTTTATTTGACCCTCTAACTCTAGCACTTTCTATTCTACTTTATCTTCTTTTTTTATTTAAATTTTTTTTTTAATATTTTTCTATTCTATCTACTTGTTTTTCTTTGTGTGTGTGTGTGTGTGTGTGTGTGTATATATAAATATATATACACCTTGCTATGTGTACTGCTTTAGGCTAACCGAGACTTGTCATTTGCACTTATATATTGTTGCTCTTTTGTTAGTTTTGACTGCTTTTATTGTCCTAATTTTTAAGTCGCTTTGGATAAAAGCGTCTGCTAAATGACTAAATGTAAATGTAAAAACCAACCAAGCAAACAAACAAACATATTTTTTCAATTTTCAATAAAAATATGACCAAATGTGGAGTATGCAACATAAAAGTACTGTAAAAATATCACAAATTATTGCAAATATCATGAATTATTACATTATTACATATTCAAATATGCTGATTTGATCTTCACCACATGGCATATTAAAACAAAACAGACTTTATACCCCTCCAAAAATAGTAAAATAATTCAGATGTTGTAATTCAGAACAAACTTATATTTGTGTCATCACATCTATTCTATCTCTTCCTGTCATATTTTGCACACACACACACACACACACACACACACACACACACACACACACACACACGCACACACGCACGCACGCACGCACGCACGCACGTACGCACTTTAAACTCCTTAGTTTGTGTTTTCATACATATTCTGCTCTAAATATCCATTCCATTCTACTGAAATCTAATTTAAATACGAACTTTAAAGTCGAACACATTCACAAATAAAAACACCATAATTCTGTTATATTGACTTCAGAGGGAGGAAAACAGCCCAGAATAGCAGGCACAGAAGCGCACGAGGCTGCCGTCACGATTGTGGAACTGAGTTTTAAGCTCTTTAAATTGAGAAATGGATCATTGGCTTTGAGACTGTGTGTGATACACCTACAGCACTGAGAGCATGAGCTCTTCATGGTTTGGCTTGTTGGGTTTGTCTCTCTACAGCCTCACAAACATGATGCACAGGAGAGGATACAATTAGTGCAAACTAGTAGCAAACTACTGTGCAAACTAGTAGCAAACTACTGTGATGTGGGTGTTTGGAGACCAATTAAAAAGTTTAAAGCAGCTGGAGATATTAACTTCAGCGGCACTGATGAGCATTCAGGGTGTAAAGAAAACATTCTGTATCAAGGAATTTCTAGACATACACTACAGTTCAAAAGTTTGGGGTCAGTATGATTGTTTTTTAAGAGATTAATAATTTCATTTAGCAAGGATGGAATTAATTGATTTAGCACTGTTAAAAAAAACTATTTTAAATAAATGCTGTTCTTTCGAACCTTCTATTTATTAAAGTCCTGAAAAAATGTATCATGATTTCCACAAAAAATATTAAGCAGCACTGTTTTCAACTTTGATAATAATAAGAAAAATGCTTCTTGAGCACCAAATCAGAATATTAGAATTATTTCCGAAGGACCATGTGGCACTGAAGACTGGAGTAATGATACTGAAAATTCAGCTTTGCCATCACAGGAATAAATTGCATTTTAAAATATATTAAAATACAAAACATTTATTCTAAATTGCAACATTTCACAATATCAAATAAGTGCAACCTTAGAGAGAATCTTTCAAAAACATTAAGAAACTGTACCGCCCCCAAACCTTCGAACAGAAGTATATATTTAGTGTTTTGTTTTTTCGGCTGGGTTATGTGGGCTCACCTGTCCACGGTTGGGTGACAGAGAGGTCTGCTGTCGTGGGGAGACAAGTAACTGCAGGAAGCCAACCCACCCACCACACGCATCCTAAACAGTTCAGTAGTCTGTGGAAGGCAAAATAAAGCTACTCATCACAAATGTAACACCAATTTATTGATACCCTCCATTTGTAGCTTCTAGATTCTTCAAAAACTCTAATTTAGTGTTCCATAGAAAAAAATAACAGCATTCAGGTTCGGAATGGCATAAGGGTGTGAACAGTGGTGCTAGAAAGTTTGTGAACCCTTAAAATGTTCTGCTTTTCTGAATAAATTTGACCTACGCTACCATTCAAAAGTTTAGGGTCAGTAAGTTTTTCTTTAATATAATACTTTTATTCAACAAGGATGCATTAAATTGATCAAAAGTGACAGACAGTAAAGACTTTTACATTGTTACAAAAAATGCCACTTTCTATTAAAGAATCCTGAAAAAAAATGGAGCACAGTTTCCACAGACATATTAAGCAGTACAAATGTTTCTTTGGAGAAAAGAAAAAAAAAAAGTACTAACCCAAACTTTTGAACAGTAGTGCGCATAGATCAGATCTTCATCTGATAATGTTGATTTAAGAGTGAAACTTTGCCTTCAGAATCTGGTTTGACCACCTTGAGTGACAATAATGGCAATCAAATGTTTTCTGTAACTGGCCATCAGACCTATTTGTGTGTTAAGGTCATTGTCTTGTTGCAGGACCCACTGTCTGTTGAGCTTCACCCTAAAACACAGGATTCAACGTTCCATCAATGATGCCAAGCCTAGAGACAGCAAATCAGCCCCAAACAATAATAATGCCACCATCAGCTTTACAGTTGGAATGAGGGTAATATTATTGAATGCACTGTTTTGGTTTTCCCCCACAAGTAATGCTTCTTCTCATTTAAACCAGTGGTTATATTTAGGCTGTCCACAAGACATTCTTCCAATAGTCTTCTGGCTCACCCACGTGGTCTTCGGCAAACTTTAGATGAGTAGCAATATTCTTCTTGGAGAGCAGTGGCTTCCTTATTACTGTGCTGGCATGCATGGCAGATCCTTAGATGTTACCCTTGGGCCCTTCCTCCAGTATTACTTGTCTTGCTCCTGGAATCATTTTTGTTAAACAACCACTCAAAGGTAAAGTAATATTGTAGCTGAGCTACTTCCACTTGTATACTGTAATATGTACTGTAATCTTATAGTTTTGCAACATTGACATTTTCTGGAAGTCCTCAGAAATGTCTATGACCAAGACATGTTCTCTATGTATGTGTTGATCAATGTTTCTATGTGAATAAGAGCCTAAATTAAATATGTTTGTCAACCTGATCAAACTTCTTCAAAAGACATTAAACAGCTTGATTCATATGTATCACTTTTATGATCTCTTAATCAACTTTTGTTGGAATGGACTTTCAATGGAGGGACAGAAACCTCTCAGGTTTCATTACAAATAACTTCATTTGTGTTTTAAAAATGAACTAACGTCTTAAAGGGGTCATATGATGCTTTTTTAAAGAACGAGCCGTTTTAGTGGGGTGTGGCAGAGTCTTAACTTTGATAAAGAATTTCTCTTTGGTTTTGAGACTTTAGTCTTTGCAACTTCAGGGATCTTATCTATTCACGAACAGCTTGTAACACTCCAAAGAGAAAGGAAAACTTGAAATCGCATCATATGACCCCTTTAAGGATTTGGAGCAACATGCGAATAACAAAATGACAGAATTATGATTTTTGGGTGAACTAACCCTTTTAAGCTTCAGGTTTATGTTTGTTCAGAAAACCAGGACCTGCTAAAAATTTTTTTTACCCCATTATTTTAAATTATATGTTAATAAACATATACGTCCTTGAAAATGTTGTCAATACATAAGTGACAACATTTCAAGATCTTGACATTCTAGCACCACTGAAAATAATGAAAACAGTTTCTTGAAAACAGTTTTGCAAAGGCATTTGTTTCCTTCTTTCTCTGGGAATGACAGCAGAGTTATAGTGTAACTGAAGAAGAGAGGATGGCTCTGAAGATGCAATTTAAAGCAGAAATAGAGCAAAATGGAGCTGTACTCAAGCGTACAGAGTGATAAATTAAAGATTTAATGGGAACAAATGAACAGATGAAAATGGAAGCAGTCTTTTGTTTGAGAAGGTGAGTTTATATTGGTCCTTTAATTTATTACGCTGTGAAGACATTACAACAATACAACTCTGCTCTCTGCTGTACTGGCCATTCTGTTGTACTGAACCAATTAGGAGACATTGTAAGATCTCGTGTCTTTCTCTCTCATTAATTTTCTGAAATACATTCCAACACATTTAGTTTGTTGTGCAGCGTAAGGCTCCTATACAATCTATCAGGTCTAATATTGTAAGTAAAATAAGTTGTGAGAATTAGCATAGAAAAAAACAAACAAAGCCAGTGAACAGGACTGGTGTTACAAAACAGTGACATCCAGTTTCAAAGACTTTCTGTTCAAAGTGGCATTTAATGCGTTAGTTAATTTGATAAATGTAAACTGTTAGTCAGTTAAACAGATTCTACTAGAGTGATTAAAATGTATTTTAGATTTTAACTTAAGATGATTCCCTAACTTAGCAAAGTTAAACTAGTCTCTCTTTTTGGGAAAACGAATACATTTATAATGACATTCCTGCATATTTAAACTTACAAGGAAATAAAAGGAAAGTTCTTCAGGTTTGTATTTAATAAGTGAAAAATAATCTATACTCATGACGATCTCTCTTTCACCTCATCTCTCCATCTCCTGTTCAACTCATTAGTCTCTATGATTATCCTTCTCCCATGTGCATATTTAAGCTTGCAGGGAGAGCGGTGTCTTAATTGCCGAGAGTCTTCTGTCATAATAAAGAGATTCGATATCCTATAATTACCTTAACTCTAACCACAGCACATGCAGCTAACATCAAAACCTGAGAGTAGTAATTTATGTTCAGCTCACACTCACCTTTATGATTGCATTTTTTTTAAATAAGTAAAGCTTATTGCAGACACTCTGTTGCAGATGAGCCCAAGACAGAGTCCTTTCTACTCTCATCAGGAATGGAGGCCCAAACCTGGAGAGAAAAAATAAAAAGTCAAAATGAGTGACAGCATGATTTAGTTTTTCATTTTTGACTGTGTTGAACAACCGAAGACAAAGATCTATCTATCTATCTATCTATCTATCTATCTATCTATCTATCTATCCATCCATCCGTCCGTCCGTCCGTCCGTCCGTCCGTCTACACCCCTAGTCTAAGATGATCTGACCATCTTCTCAATCCAGCAAGCTCTAATCTGATTTGTTGACTTTACAAGAATAAGGGGACACAGGGTTTTCTTTTTAATCAAGTCATGCTTCCAAGATTCTGTTGTCTGTGATAGTCTGTGGAAATTCTGGACGCTAGGCCTGTCACGATAACAACTTTTTATTGTGCGATATATTGCCCCAGAAATAATTGCGATAAGCGATATTATTGTCATTTTAAAGACCATTTTATGCCACTGAATATATAATCATAATGTAACAGCATAATAATGCAAGAAGGCCTACACACTTCCAAATGACAACAAACTTTTAATTTTTAAGAATATTTAGATCATGCAAATTAAGTATCAAAATATTAGATACCTTAAAAAGCCCGAATAAATAGTAAATAAACATTTTCTAACAAAAAGTTCAAAGTAACAAGTAGAAAAAAAGAAAAATGCTCCAAGAACTTCTATGGAGATATTTCCATCTACAGATTTTTCCCTGACCTTCTTTTCTCTGTAAATTAAGGGTGCGCACTATTGCTGAAAAACACAATCACTACTTAGCAGTCAGATGTCCGTATGCACAAAGGCACAGATCCCTAAACAAGGCCATATCTGCAGATGAAACTTTTTTTTGTAGAAGCATTTTTTTAATTTGAACTGGCACCTCATGACAACACCACATTATGTACGAGAAGCTGCAAAAGACACAGGCGCAAGTGGAATGTAGAAAACATGGTGACATAAATTTGTAAGTAAATATAATGGGCGATATATTGCGTCGCCAAAAATGATTGAGGTCATGTACATATATTGCGCGATAAGTCGATATATTGATTATTGCGACAGGCCTACTGGACGCCTTAAACAATTTTTACGCCATTATTTTTAATTATATGCTAATAAACATATACTTCCTGGAATATTTTGTCAATACATAAGTGACAACATTTCAGGATCTTGACATTCTAGCACCACTGAAAATAATGAAAACGTTTTCTTGAAAACATCACATTTTTGGGGGGCGAATTATTGCATTAACAGAGTTTTGAAAAAGCATTTGTTTCTTTCTTTCTCTGGGAATGACAGCAGCATGAGTTATAGTGGAACTGAGGAAAAGAGGAATTTAGTCAGCATTTAGTTAATTAGATAAGTCTGTGGAAATTCTGGACAGGCAGAAATTCTGATCACAGAGTCCACAAATCTTTCCATTATTTTTTCAGTGTTTTCTGCACAAACATTGGTGCAGACTGCATTGCCATTACTATTATTTTTATTTTTATTTTTATTTATTTTCACATCAGTCTATTATTGTGGTATAAACTTCAAAAATATATTTTTTTTCTTAAAAATAAAACAAACAACTTTATATGTCGGTCAGACTGTCACTTCCTGACTAAATGAGCAGTTATTGGCCAGAATAAGCTGTAGAGTGGTTTATGTTGTTTAGTCTGGTTACTTAATTAGCTTACTTTAGGGAAAGTGAGTTTGCAGCATGTTCACAGGCATCAGAAATCACAATATATACACATAAATATAAAAAATGAATAAATGAGTGAGTGAATCGTAAGACCAGCTAGTCATCATTTATAAAATATTAATAATAATAATAATAATAATAATAATAATACAACAAGGAAGACAATATAGTCAACCAGATGGCACAAATTCAAAAGCAGAGGCAAGGGGATGCCTCTTTTCACTCACAATATTATTTGCCTTACTTAACACTCCCTCTTTGTAAATATTCGCTTGGTAACATAGTCCCTAAGAATTCACTTGCCAATGTTACCACTTTCCTCGCTTATGCGAGACTACTGCACCAAACAAATAAGTATGATTATTGATTTCCCAAGCAAAATAGTCAGTTTCCCAGAAATCAGATATTACAGGTAGACCTGCCACAAACTGACAACATTGGTTGAATTAGAAGTAGACACATCAGACTGCTCATGCAAACAGAGCAATGTTTTGAAAGTGCCCCAGAGCCAAAGCACTCACATTCTTTAGGAAATTCAACCTACGAATGGATTTAAAGTTGTCTCTACACATGAAGTTGGTACAAGATCAAATTAACATTCCAACAATTACACAATTCACCTTTAAAACACCCTATCAGCTTGAAAATTTAAAGGGGTCCTATTATGCTTTTTCAACGCATATTTTCCGGGATTTCTGATATCACAAAGATCGATGAATGGGACGAGACCTGGTTGAGCTGCACTAGAGAAGGCAATGAGTGTTATCACTATGTCGGAGACACACTAGCTTTCCCAAGGCAGACGAACTTAGAGTGGTTACAATCATCCGGGTTTAAATCGCGCTCAAATTGATTTGATATTGACGCAATATTTACTCTGAAGCTCGCAGGCGGCTATGGTAAGGTTCATGACATTTCCCGACCAGGCGCCGAGTGCTGCCAATCACAACACACACTGGCCCAGCTAACCAATCACAGCACATTTCGTATTTCAGAAGGCGGGCCTTCATTTGATACAGGAACTATTCGAGCCGGTCATGCCAGACTGGGGAGAGAGGTGTTGTAATAATGTAAAATATGTGAAAAATAATGTGTTTTTCGAACAACCTAGTATGAGAGCCTGTTCTAGTACACACCCAAAACAAAACCAAGACTTTGTAAAAGAGCATAATAGGACCCCTTTAAACCCACTTTTTGGTACAGCTCTTTTATCTTTTGTTGCAAACGTTGAATCAGCGAGACAACTTTTCCAGGGGTGGTTCTAGGGGGTGGCCAGTGCCCCCCTGTCAACAAGCTTCCCCCCCCCCCTTTGCCCCCCCTAAATTTGGAATCATATCAAACCAAACAATTTTGGGTGAAATGCGCAATTTGTCGTGTAAACTACATATAAAAAAAGAAAAACATCACAAGCTGCTAAATTCAAATCTGCGTTCACTGGCTGGCACAGAGACACACGTGTTTTTAAAGCACTGCGCATTATAACCAATCACATACGATCCTGTTGAGTTATGAATGCAAGGACCAATCAGAGGCGTTCAGATGCATCACCGCTGAAACACACTGTTTCGTCACCGCGCGCGCTGACTGACTGAATTCTCTGGTTAATTCTCTCATCAGAAACATCAAAGGGAAGATGTACGAATGTAAGTAAGATATTAATTTCACAGTGTAAACAGCTTTAGAGATTATTATGGGAGTTTCTGAGATTGCTTGAACTCGCTGGACTGAAGGGAAAATGATCTTTGATAATGTAAAGGTTCTTTGCTCTCTTTTTGTGCAATGAAAGTGTTATAGGCTTATTAGTAACTATTAAACTAACTAATTAGTAACTATTAACTATATTTTTATTAAATTCACATTACATACAAAGTCAGTTGTATTAAAAATATTTTATGGTATGACACCCGTATCTGGTACTTAAAGGTGACATATCATGAAAATCTGACTTTTCCAGGTTTTAAATGCTATAATCAGGTTCCCGGTGCATCTACCAACCAAGGAAACGTGAAACATATTAACCCAGTAACTTTGTTTTGGTAAGCCTTTTGCTGCAAGCGTCTGAAAAGATGAGAGCGTCTGATTTCGCTCCCTTGGTGACGTGGCAAAGGGATCTCATTATAATATTACCGCCCCTTAATCTGTAAATTTACACCCACAGCGCCGTCATTTTGATTTCGCAAGCAACAACGGTGTACCAGCTCTAATGCCATGGCAAAAGTTTATGCAAAACATGCTAACTGTTCTGTCTGTGGCTGCACAGACGAGCACAAAACACTATTTAGAGTCCCAGCCTCAGAGGAGACAAGAGAGCAGTGGATTTATTGATTTATTTAATGTATATTGCTGCTGCCACACAGATCTAAAATAAACATGCGATTTATTTCCCAGCTGTTTACCTTCACAGACATAAGTGACTGTTTTTTGTAACTCGTGTGTTTTTACGTAAACTTGTGTGTGAATGAGAACTTAGTTTAGTACTCACATGCTGTCTGGTGGCCGCTTTCTGTCCGTGTGCTTCGGATGTGTGCGCTCAGAAAACCATGGGTTAAAACGCATGATTTCAGCGCGATAAACATGATAATCAGAACCAAAGCAGATGTTTTTTTAGCAGGTCCGAGCTGTAATGGCGCAGCTCTGAGCTCTATTCTGGAAAAGGGGGCGGGGAGCAGCAGCTCATTTGCATTTAAAGAGACAGGCCCGAAAACCAGCCCGTTTCTGCTTCCGCTCAAAATAGGCATTTTCAAAATGATATAATAAAAGATCTGTGGAGTATTTTGAGCTGAAACTTCACAGACACATTCTGGGGACACCAGAGACTTATATTACATATTGTAAAAAGGGGCATAATATGTCTCTTTTAAGTAAAAATATGGATTTTTATGCAAAGTTATTAGATTACACTATTAGGCTACTTTGAACATCGCCCATAATAGATCAACTAACATAATCTATAAAGGTGCAAAATGCATTTACTTACACATATTTGAGAATTGAGATATTTCATGATATATTTTGGGAATATTTCAAATACAAATAAATTAATAACCCTGCTTAAAAAAACAATAGACAGCATTACAAAATTTGTAATGGTCTTGTCAACATATTCTCCAGCGTCTCCTCATCCCTCGTGTGTGCAACGTGACAGTGGGTCTCTACTGGTAATTGGTTGCCTTCTATAGGTGGCTTGTTAAAACCAATAAATCCTAATGGAATATGTCCCAAAACAAACTGCAGTAAACCATTTTTAATGGTTTTAATGGTTAAAAGTTGATGGTTTGTAATGTTTGTA